CTCATTTTTATTTTTCCCATTTGCTGCAGGTAAATCTTTAGTGTCTCGGTTGGCCACTTCAGCCTGTTTCCCTTTTGCTCCCCTTTTCCCTTTTGTTTGCACTCTTTTGTCTGAAGATTTATCCTTCCCTACTGCCTTTTTTGGTTTGTCTCCATTTTTGCAGGAGGTTTAGCGGACAACCTCGCCCATCTCCTCTTGGGCTTTTCCTTGGCCGTCCCCTCTGCTGAGCTGACCTTCCTCTTGGGCATCTTGGCTGCAGACAGGGTGTGTGCTGGGTGCCTGATGAGGCCGAGACTCGCCTAGAACCTTTGCAGAGTTGAGCGGATAAACCCGACCGCTCCTTCCGCCGCTGGAGCTGCTGGAACTCGCCAGATACTTCTATCTTAACCAAAGTAGACCCATAGGCTGAAAGTGAAAGTAGGGTAGAGGGCTCAGCTTTGGTGTGGAAGAATTCTCTTCCATTGGCCACCTCTCATGTGACTGACAGACCCAAGGGACCAGGCAGTGAGGCCACCATTGTCCACATCAAAGTGACTGTTATCAAAGCTTACTTCCTTTTGTATTTAGCCAACAAATGTCCAAGATAGTAACAGAGGATTCTACCCATTCTGCTAAGCAATACCGCAGAAAGTGCTGGCAACTGAGTGTTGTCCTCTCAGTGACACAGATCTTAATGGATTTGCTTCCTGCAAAGGGAAATATTCGTTTTTTATTATTTTATACGGTTATACAGAAATACGGCCTAAACCATGTTTTCTGTGTCCTAGGAGCAAGCTGAAGAAGAAAAGAAACCCAGGGATGGCGTGACCCTTTTGAGTCATGGTAACTATCACTATCCTTTATATATTTATTTCACAATGAACAACTTTTAAGTGAAGGTTTTATTAGATTGCTGTGATTGTTTTAGGTTTATTAACTTAAATAATGGTGTCTACCATTCATTCGAAGTGTATTATATGCTATTTTGTAAATGTTATTAGTGTCATCTAGGATTTTAAAATATATATACCAAGAAACAGTCTGACATTCTTATGTCATTTATTTGCCTTTTTTTTTCCGTGAAAGAGTGAGCGAGAGAGAGAAGAATGTTTGATAAGACTTTGCCATGCTGTGATCTTCCTGCCCCAGCCTCTCAGCTAGGATTATAGACATGTACAACGTTGCCTTTCATACTCAGCTTGGTCTCCAATCCAAACCCAGGCTTCACATGTGGCTCTAGTTTCACACCATGGTATACTACCACTCGTGCCACTGTGACTTGGCCTCATTGATTTGCCTTTTAAAACAAGTTTAAGTAAAACTAGTTATGATATGCAAACTTCCTCTGTGAGCAAGAAAATAAGCTATGTTGAATTTATTTATAATTCTTTTCTTAAGCTGTTTCAGATTGGCTTAATCTTCTAACGATTGTATTTGTACTCACCTACTAAAACTATGTTTTAGAGGAGATTGTACATTTACTCTGACATGAATATCCCTTATCATGGTAATTAATACAAGAATAGATTTTAAATAATAGTCTTTAAGTATTCAACTAATTTTTGATGCTTTAAATTTAAATCAGCAAATGCAGATGCTATTTCCCTGGAATATGTATTTTATGTATTTTGTGATTATTGATATGCAGGTGGAAAGCTGTCATTAACTTTCCTGTAAAATGTGATTGAATGTCCAACTAACATTCATGCTATTCCTGATGGGAAAGAAACACATAAGGGGTCTTCAAAGAGTTCATGGAAAATGCATATTATGAACAACTTTCATAGATTTAAAATTCTATTTTTTCAGAATAAATTCATATTTTAATGCTATTTTCCATAACTTTTGTAATTTTCCCATTTAAATTTGGCAATGCTCCTCTGATCAACTTTCAAGATACCATAAGTATTTGTTGAAAAAACTTTTACTTGTTTCTTTTTGAGAAATGGAAATAACTGGTAATACTTGTTTTAAGATAAAAATTTTTTCTTTATGTCAGAGAAAGAGAGAGAGGATAGGTGAGTATCTTTTTGAGTCTGGTCATGTAGAGATCCTTCTGCCCTAGCCTAGCAAGTAACTATGATTATAGACATGGTCGACTGCACCCAGGTGTATTCACATTGGCCCAGGAACTGAATTGAGCCCTCCATGTGGCCTTCAGCCTCCCAGTTAGTGATACCTTCTGTACACTACCTCAGTTGGGTCAAGAGTTGAGTTTTTTGTTTTTGTTTTTTTTAAGAGAGATTTTTTTGCTATAGGCTGCACGTGCTCACCAGAGAGAGACCAGAGAGACAGAAAGCGAGAAATCACCCGCCCAGGTGGGATAGCCATGCCACAATCCCTTCTCCTATTCTTCTATTGGGATTTTGGGCACGTACGCACATGTGCCTGGCATGAGTTTTACACCACCAAGTCTGAGACTTGAACTGTAGTTGACTATGTGGGAGTCCAGTCCCAAGAATTGAGATTTTTTAAAGGACCATTTTATGTTACTTAAGTCTTGAGACACATATTGAAAATTCATGATTTTATCACATAAGTAATTTTGAAAATAAAAGTTGTTTTCCATTCTAAGCCAAATATACTGGTTTAAATTTCTTCTCTTCTCTTACTGCCACCCTGTGCATGTCATGTTCTTTGCTGAAAAAGCAAAATAGGATGCAGTAGTTTGATAATTATGTAACTTGATGTTCAGCTCCATTGAAATATAATTCAGTTATGCAACAGTGGAATTTAAGAGATAAATTTGGACTGTACCTGGCTATAATAGGAGGGCTTTTTTCAACAAGATTTTTTTCTCAGAGGTTGTGATTTATGATGTTGTTGTTTCTTCCCTGTAGCTATATTTTCACACTAATGTAAATTGTTTTGAGTTTTCTTTTTCTGAGGTTGAAACATTTATTGTTAAAAAAAAAAAGAGGGAGAAAAAAACCAGTGGACTTAGGCCAACGATTTAAAAATGTTCAGAATGCCAGACTAAGATTCTTTACTCATCTAGTATTTAAATTTTCATTATATTCATGTATACATTTTTATCTTAAATAACTTTGTACTTTTAATGGAAGATAACTTTTTGCTATCCTTCTCCATTGTTGGACTTGTTTAATGGTTAAAGGTCCATTCTCGAAAACTTCACACTGTGATTTATTCTTAAAGTTTGTTACTGTTACTGTTGCTATTTTCCCCAGCTCTAAAATATAATTAACTTTTTAAGAAATGGAGGGAATTTGGTTTGTGTATATAAAGAATAGAAGCTAGTTTTAAGGCAAATTGTATTATTTGAGGGCCTTTTGAGGTAATTTATATTTTTACCACGTTCAGTGGGATAAAGGAATAATTCTTCAAATTGCTGATTGTCCTAGTATAAGAGTGAAGATTTTCCTCCTAGAGTTTGTGAAAATAGTCTAATCTTTTCTTTAGGCTGCTTACAAAACCAAAAAAAGTTTCAGTCATTTAACTCATATCTTAAAAAAATAATAAAAGCAAAGCAAAAACTGTGTGTGTACAACAGGAAGTTATATTGAAAAATAAATATTTAATTCTTAGTACTGAGTTTATAACAAGCACATGGTTCTTTGGAAATTATTAAACAAACTTATTCAATGCCCAATCTGTGCCACCAACATTGGAGCTTCCGCTACAGATGGATAAGCTTCTAGAGGCTAGAGTGAACTTAACTAGCGAATGTGGGCCCATGATTGGAACCCACATCTAGCAAGTTCTAAAGCCTGTGCTCTATTTTATCTGTGTTCTTTCTTCATTAACATTTCCTCTTCTTTGTAGCAATGAAGACAAAGGTAGAGAAAACTGGAATCTTACTTAGAAAGGAAAGTATTAATGGTATCTAAATCAGCCCTTTGTGACCTTGGAAACTGGGTGAACTGAGTTTTCCCTGACAGGGTCATACCTGTAGATGAATTTTTATTTTTCTTTTTGCACTCTCTGAGGTAAATTATTCTTAGTAATTACAAAACTTTAATAACTACCTTAGGCACCTTTAGGAGAAGGCTTGTCTCAGTGAGTGTTATTTGTTAATAATTAAGTGTGATTAAAGTGATGGAATTAGTATTTTTATTCACTATGTAATCCTAAACCTATATGCCTTTGCATTTGAACAACTGAAAATAAAATCTGCTGATTTCTTCAGTTGGACAACTGATGTGACTTTTCTAAATCTTTTAAACTAATATTAATTTTTCTTTTTTGGTTAAATGGGACAGTGAGGACTTTATACATTTAAAATTATTGTAAGACATTGTAAAGGAAAATTATATGTATGAATATCCGCATTAAATCCTGTATAATAAGAAAATCAAATAAAGTTAAGAGGGAAGTAGCAAACTGGTTAATATTCTCCACAATTACAATTGACATGTCTGAAATAAATTTAAAAAATAAGGAAAAATAACCAGATACATTAAGATCTCAGTTCAATAATAGGCAAAAGGCACAAATAGGTAATTAATAGTAAATAAAATAGAACTGGCTAAAAATAAATATATTGAAACTATTCTGTCCCACTAGAATGCAAAGAAATACAAATTTTAAATTAGTGATGTCACTTTTTCTTAATCTACCAAATTAACAATTGGAAAAATCTGCTAATACCTCTTACTGCTGGGATGGGGAAGACTGGCCCTTGATATACTGCTACTGTAAGTAGAATTTGGTTCTATCATTTTGTAGGACGTATTTATAGTATCAAAATTGTTAAATAAACATTTCCTTCAACTTAGGAATTCTACTTTTTGAAATTTCTGCTAATGAAATAAGCATTTGTGTTTTATTTATGCATATGGCAGTAATACTCTTTAAAAGTGGTGATAAGTTAAAAATAATCTCAGTGTTTTACAAGTTTAGAATAGGTAAAACATTGTGATACAATTATGTGTAATTACGTAGTAGCTTAAATGGTTTTGAAGAAATTTAAGATATAAGAGGAAACCCTATGATAAAATTCTAAGTTGAAAAAAATGTCCTAGGAGATGTGTTTGAATGATAGTTAACAAAAAAATGTATACACACATGCACACACACACACACACACACACACACATGCACACACGCAGTAAGCAGAACAAGATTTTAATAGTCATTGTCTCTAAGTTGTGAGATAAAAATATCTTTTCCAGCTCAGCCAGAGTGTGGTAGTTAAGGTGGCTGGATCCCACATGGCCTATTCTGTGTTTTGAGTCCTGGATCCTACAGGCTTAAAAAACACTCTGAGCACATATGCACACAGTCTCAAAATCCTAAAGGAAAATGAAGATGTGATGACAACATGGTCATCCCCCGTGGAGAGTGCTTTCTCACTTTCTCTCTTTTTCTCCTTTTCTTTCTCCCTCTCATTGGAGAGTGCTTGTGCCATATAGCAAATTTATATGTATATATATATACACACACATACATATGCACACACAAATAAATGTATATTTCCTATTTTTTAGCAATTATTATGTAATATAATCAGACACATATTATTGTTATTATTATTTTTTTTTAAGAGATTTTTGCTATAAGGTACATGTGGTCACCAGAGAGACAAAGAGAGAGAAAGTGAGAAATCACTCCTCCAGGGGAGATAGCTATGCCACAATCCCTTTTGCTCCTTTCATCTCTCGGGATTTTGGGCACACAAGCATGCACACACATATGCCCAGCATACATTACAAGCCTCCAGGTCTAGGACTTGAACCGAGGTTGGTCATATCGGAGTCTAGCACCTTAACTACTATGCCACCTGCTGGTCCCCCAGACAAGTATTATTCAAAATAAATTTAGAAACTCCTAAACACTAAAAATTATAATTTGTAGACTATGACAGAATAATTGGAATATCTGTC